CCCCCCCTCTGCCTCCGTTCCCTCCGTCCACTTTCCCTCCTAAATCCGCCTTTCCTTATTTCTTCGCTGTCCTTCCGATTATGATGTGCTTTTGTCTTCACTCATCCTCTTCGACGTTCCCGTCCGTTGCGGGAGTGAACGGGGATACCTGATTTTCCTGATTCTCTCTTCTAAGCTCTTTTTTTTTTCTTCTTCGCCTTCATAAGAAAAAAAAAAAATCCCGCCTTTCCCTTCGACCCGGTTCGTTTGTTCCGCTTCTTCGCGTTAAGGAACAGAAACTCGACCGAGAGGTTGTTCGCCAGCTCTCGTACACCAGGCTGGACCTCTCTTTTGTTACCTCCATTGTTCGAAGTATTCTGCGTCACTTCCAGCACTGACAGGTCGTCCCAAGTCAGTGTCATTGGTCGTTGTCTCTCTGCCCAGTCGCATCGAACTTCTTCCTTCTTTGACACGAGTGTCGCGTGAAGCCCAGGAACGACCTACTACAGTCGCCCACCCTCTCTCTCCACTATATAGACTTCTTGTGTGGAGTGGTCTTTAAGTGCCTCATCTTTCTTTCCATCCTATAGTTACAGTTGGTCCATCATGACGGAACAACCTCGCTCAATGGAGTCCCGCGTGGGACGCAAAAACCAACGTGAGTAATTTACCCTGGAGGCACGTTGACCCTTTTACAATTTACTTCTTGATACTCTTTCTTCTACCTTCGAATATCTTTCCCCGCGATTTTGCCACCTATGGTTACGCGCAACCCTGCTAATGTTGTCTGTGCTTCTAGGGTACGGTCCGAAAGGCGAACGGCTAGTGGCCGGTGTTGTACCGTTGTCCGCGGACAAGACTCTGGTCTTGATGATCCAGTCCGCAGGGCGCGGCGGCTGGGTCCTTCCCAAAGGCGGCTGGGAGACGGACGAAAATAGCCCCCAACAAGCCGCCTGCAGAGAGGCCTGGGAAGAGGCTGGAGTAATATGTACGGTGCACAAGGACTTGGGGCAAATACCCGACATGCGCCCCTCGACTTTATTGTCAACCACAGCACCCAAGGCGTCCTACCAGTTCTTCGAGGTGACCGTGGACCGCGAAGAGGAGCAGTGGCCCGAGATGCACAAGCGAAAACGGCAATGGGTTACTTATAAGCAGGCTGCCGATGCTCTGGCCAGCAGACCCGAGCTTTTGGAAGCGCTCAATCGCAGCTCCATGCGGCGGTAGCGATGGGCTTTTTGTTTTCCGCAAAGGAGCTTCAAGCTTCCATGACGACCTGAAATGATCTAGCCAAGGAAAAGCTGTTTTCTTTTTTACTTGCATTGACTGGCTTGAACTTCCTACCCCCGGTTGGCTGTAATGCTTTTGGGTTTTTATAATCTCTCCTTTTCTTTCCCTTTTTTTTTTCTCTCTCTCTCTCTGGACTCGATCGGATGGCAGCTGGTGGCTTCTGCGCATGACTTACGAACATGATCTTCTGAGATGCGCGAATATGGCCTATCTAGTCCATTCGATCCGTCCTTGCTATTGTTTTCACACCCTTATAGAATTCACGAGCAAGCGCCAGTATAGATTGTTAGAGGAGTACGGCCGTGTTGCTGACGGATGGGGCAAAAAGTTACTGTCATCGAGACATGGTCTGGGATGGGATCCTTTGCTTGGAGTTGGCTTTCTCTTTTGGATACCAATATCATCTTGCTCGTGATTGAGACCTGTGCGCTCCGGGCACTTCGCATCTATAAAGTCCGCCCAGCATGGGCTAACATACAATAATAGCTGTTTGATTTTTCATCTGAGTGTGTATCTATAGAAGTCTCTGGAAGTAACTAATGATGCAAGGTGGTGTTGCATGGAGGTTACTACAGCCTCGAAATTGACTCAGTTGACCACTAAAAACTGTCTTGACAGTTGGCTAATGAAGCGAGGCTTAGCGAACCAACCTCGTCTATGAATACTAGACATAAAATTAATGTAATGAGTCAAGTATCTCATAGCTGGATAATCAGCGTGCCTTCACGTGTCATCCCATTTACACATACATCTCTGGGCTGCAGGGGAAGATTACCCGATCGGGTCAAGCGCCTCTCAGCTTCCGCCTTTCAGTTCTCCCAAGTCTCTCTCGAATTGATTGCCTCATCGCGGCCATCTCCAATTCAACTTCCTCCCCACTGAACCATAACTCTTCCGGTGTGTGTGGCCATCACTCTGGGCCTCATCGCCAACAGACATACCATCATCATCATGGACTACGAAATGGACATCGAGCCCACCGGGCCCCAAGTGACCGTCCGCGAGGTGAGCAACTTGCAGTCGCCATCCATCACATCACTATCACTGCACATCACAAAGCAACACCACAATCTGCTCCCCCCAAAGAAGCTCACTTACCAACTCTCTCCATCCCCAACAATGACTGATCATGATACCACAGGCCGAGCCCTACCGCGTGGACTTCAAGCTCAGCTCCGTCGACCTAGCCTTCGCCAACTCGATCCGCCGCACCATGCTCGCCGAGATCCCGACCATGGCGATCGACCTGGTGGAAGTCGAGAAGAACACTTCGGTCCTGCCTGACGAGTTCCTGGCCCACCGCCTGGGGCTGATCCCGCTCAACTCCAAGAACTGCGACCAGGACGTCGAGTACACGCGCGACTGCGAATGCGATGACCGCTGCTCCCGCTGTAGCGTGACGCTGACCCTACACGCGCGCTGCACGAGCGACGAGATCATGCGCGTCTACGCGCGGGATCTGGCCGTCAGCGGCGAGCGGGCCAACGAGTGGGTGGGCAACCCGGTGATCACGGACCCTGAGGGCAAGGGCCCCCTGATCTGTAAATTGCGGAGGGGCCAGGAGCTGAAGATGACCTGCATCGCGAAGAAGGGGATCGCCAAGGAGCATGCCAAGTGGGCGCCGACGGCCGCGGTGGGCTTCGAGTACGACCCGCATAACAACCTGCGCCATGTGGATTACTGGTATGAAGAGGATGCGGCGAAGGAGTGGTATGTTTTCTCTCCCCCCCCCCCCCGGTATTCGTCTCGAAGAAGGACGATGGGAAGGTGATGGTAAGTGGAGAAGATCTTGGCTAATAATTCTACTTTGTGGTTGTTGCACAGGCCTATTTCACAGAACTCGGCATGGGAACACGCCAACCCTCCCGATCAGCCTTTTGACTACGACGCGCAGCCGAACAATTTTTACATCGATGTCGAGAGTATCGGCATGATTGACCCGGATATGATCATTCAACAGAGTATCATTGTGCTGCAGCGCAAGTTGGCTTCGGTCATCTCGTCGCTGTCTGGCTCGGGTGATGGCGGTGCGGACCGTGGCGGCATGATGGGTGGTGAGGACGATGATATGATGCGCAGTCCGGATGCCTACGAGCCGCCGGAGGGTATTGATGGCGGGTTCACGGCCTATGCCAGTGGCGGTGCCAGCGCGTGGGGAGCCAGTGCTGCCACGCCGTACGGTGTCACGCCTTATGGCGGTGGCTATGGGTTTTAGGTGGAATGGAGATGATGTGAGATGTGAGGGCTGGATTGCTCTGCTGTCCGTTGAGGCGACTTTCCCTGGGGCCAGCTGCGTCTGCCCGGCAGGGTTGTCTTTGGTCACCGAGACTTCGACAGCCTATTACCCCAACCAATTAATCGTCATCCCTACCTCCTCTCCTAAGGCGAATTAAACCAACCCGGGTCACATCTGGTCCCAACCCAGCTCAAAGAACACCAACCACCAACATCATATTCTCGCCAACCTTTTCTGATACTATTTCCAGCATGCGGACGGAGTTTATCACGGGTATTTCTGCTCACCTCGGGGAATTGAAATTTGTTCTGCTTTTTCTTATTATCTCTTTCATATTCCATGCTAACAAAAGAAGTTCTTCCATGGTCAAGGCGTGCAACGGGGGTGTTTTGTTGCTTTGCTTTCTTCTCATGTCTTGTCTCTGACTCTATTAAACACATATTTACATAAGAACACCACACCACATCACATACAAATCCAAATGAACAGATATCCAACCAATTACTGGGTTCGCTATTGAGGCGTAGCTTTTGTATCTGCCTTGTGCGGCTCAGGTTATTGTAAGGATCTGTAAGAGCATAGTAGATGACTATAGACGGAAAGCAAATACTGCAGATGGATGAGATGATATACCACCATTCTGTGGGGATTAATTGAACGATGAATAAGAATAGACAAGAGATGGAAGTACCAAAAAGTGTCGCAACCCAATGCAAATAGTATGTACAATGCGTACTATACGCCATCATGCCCAATCCCGTAGCAAACAATACCAACTTTGTTCAACGCCAAAACCATCCCGAACACCATTCATGACAAGCAAGCAATATATCCAAGCACCTCTCTCTCTTCACAACCAGAATGAATCCCAAAACGTCCATTAAAGAAATCACATCAACTCGACCGGCGGCCGCGCCGTCTTCGGCGGCATTCGCTTGACGGACATGCCCTCCTCCTCGACAGGACTATAGCTCATCTCAACATCCTCGTCCTCATCTTCATCAACATCATCCACTAACAACCCCATCTCGCTCATATCCTCAACCATCACGGCCGGCAAGCCGGGACTACCCCCGTGATTTTCAGGGTGGTAGATCAGGGTACTGCTGCGGCTGCGGCGATTCGTGACGGGCCAGCTCCCCGTGCGCGGCAGCTTCTCCGAGACCGCCGAGACAGGAGTTTCCGGCGCCGCGGCGGCGGCTGCCTCGCCGAACGTCGACATCTCCGTGTTGAGTTTGGCCAGCGCGTGGGCCAGATCGCTGGCGTGGACTTCCTTGTTGGGGGGGTCCTCCTGGCGCAGAACCCAGCCGTGGGGCGGGGAGGGCGGGGGGCTGATGAAGAAGAGCTTGTCGACCTGCGGGGCGGCGAGGAGTTTGGGGCGGGCATCGTGGCCCGTTTGCAGCGGGGTGGGTTCGCCGAAGTAGACCTTCGGGTTGACGGTTCTGGCTGAGTGGGTGGCTGTGTGGGCTTTCAGGGGGTTGTTCTGCTCGGTGGATGAGAGGAGTTTGCGGATGTAGAGGGCGTCGTTGTCGGTGTGGAAGGAGCAGAGCAGGCGGCGGAGGGAGGGCAGTGGGGAGAAGGAGTTGAGCGGGGCGAGGTTGTTCAGGGTGGTGCGAAGGGCGGTTAGGGAGGGGGGGTCGAAGAGGTGTAGGTCGTTTAGATCGGTGATGATGAGGGTGTTGGTTGGGGTTGTTGGTTGGCTGAGGGCGGGGAGGTTGCTGAGGTCTAGGGAGAGGGTTGGTCGGGTTGTTTTCGTTGTTGTTGTTGTTGTTGAGAGGGATGGGGAGGAGGTTAGGGATTGTGGGGGGGTGGTGTAGTTCATTTTGAATGTTTTTTTGGAGTGTGGTTGTGGTTGTGGGTGAATGGGTTTGATTGAGGAGGAGAGGAGTGGTTGATATAGAGATGAGGTTGTGGTTGATTGCCACTCGGGGAGATAAGAGAAGCGCTTAGTGGAAGTAGCAGCAGGAGAGTACAGTACAGTGACTCGTAAGCAACCTTGTGCCCTCGTTCAACTCTGATTGGAGACTGCTTCAGAGAATTCTCGGTGGTTGTGCCAGTCAGGATGAAGAGTCTGTATGCGTGCTGAACGCTTCTTTTATAGGATCAATGCAATCAATTGTTGCAATTGTTGGGGTTGTCCTCGTCCGCCTCCGTCGCTTTGCCGGGCGAGGCGCAGCAACACGCAAAGAACGAAGAGTGGAGATGCCCGCAACCTGCACTGCCTGCTTGGATTGCGACTCTCCTATTCTACTCTAGTCTACGCTACGTGTGTACAACTACAGCGACCTAAGTCACTGTACTTGTCTCTTCTCGGAGACGGCCCTTCTGGATCTGGGTCTGTTCCTGGCGATCGGCTCTGCATGCATTTTCAGTACTCGCCACGGTCTCGCCGAACCCGTGTGGCTGAAGAGACACCTGCACCGCTTTGGGTTGCCACCTTCGATTCCTTCCTTCAGTCATCCATCAATTATTGTGATGGCGATGTTGCATATGTGTTTTCCTTGCTGCAGATCATCCGAGCGGTCGTCGATTGAGCCGCTGCTGTTGCATTGGTTATCGGATGGATCGTCCTGGAGGTGAATCCTGGACTGAATCCTGCAGCCAGCCCCCGGAGATCGGGCAGAGAACATATCACTGGATACTGATAAACTACGATAAGTCGGAGCAGTCTAATTAACTGTCACATGCTGTCGATTCGAGCTCTGCTTTCGAATCTATACCTGGTTCTGCTTTACAGATACTACAATTCAATTTGAATGGGGACAATGTTCCACGGGATGGTCGCCTTCTCCACACACTCCAGAACCAGCAAGCAGCCTGCCATCCGCAGCGGCTGATGCTCCGCCCCCGGGGACCACTCCACAAGCAGTCGATATATCATACACTGCGTATAAGTCCTCTAGGCAGGCAAGATTTCGAGCTTGGCTCCGAGGTAACATAGAGTGTCCCCCGCTTTTGGAATTGTTCATGCATGCATACTGCCGCATTCCAAGCTTCACCAGTCAAGTCACGCCTAATGTCACCATCAACAGAGCCTCTACATTTTAGGCCGTACTGAGATAGAGTCTAACCAACCTTATCTACACTTTGAGACACTTCGTAATCGTGTCCAACAGGGGGCTGATGTCGGTGCGCAGAGAACTATGCGTCTACCTACGTCGCCTGCACAAGGCTTATACCTTCAGGTGCCCCAATGTCTTACTCCCATAAACGACATTCGTCGCTCGAGTGACCTCAATCATTTGTCCTAGTACATACGTACAATTTTCTTCTGCCTACAGTAGCCGTGTTAGACCGATACCCAGTACATACATCCTCTTAGCTGGAAGCTCTGACCATCTTTTATTGCATCTGGCGCTCAGCCACTCCGCTCTTCCGGATGACGCACTCTCTCGACAGCCAACCTAGAATCCATTCTAGTCAATTCCATACCGCTCCAATGATTGTGCACACAACACATGTTATTTTGTCCATCGATTATGGCTGGTCTGGTCAAACGACTCGGTTCTCAGTGGCATAAACACGCCATCCGAGTCCCCGCATGCAGCATTATAGGCTGGCAAGGAACTTGGATCGATTTTCGAGGGCCCTCTGAGAGGGTTCACAGTCTGGTGCATAGATCTCGAAAACATGAGGCAGACCCGGGTACACATGCAATTCCAAGCTGATATTGGCAGTTGCGAGCTTCGCCGCGAAGGCGATAGCTTCGTCACGAAAGATGTCCAGCTCGCCTACGTCGATGTACGTTGGCGGCAAGCCTTCCAGGTTGGTGGCTCGGGCAGGCGCAGCGTATGGCGAGACATTGTCCGTCCCGATATCTTGTCCCAACAGGGCAGTCCAGCCAGTGAGATTGTCCTCGTAAGTCCACGTAGCGAAAGGCTCCAGCGCAGGATTTGGGACGGTATTTCTATCATCTAACATCGGGTCAAACAGAGCCTGCTTCGCGAGAGGCGGGGATAAGCCCCTATCCCGGGCCAGCATAGCAATGCCCGCAGCAAGGCACCCCCCGGCGCTCTCCCCCATGAGAGCAATGCGGCTGTTGTCTACCCGGAAATGGGCTGCTTGCCGATGGAGCCACGCCAGTCCAGCATAGCAATCCTCAAGTGGTGTTGGATGCGGACACTCGGGTGCCAGCCGGTAATCTACCGAGAAGATCGGAATGTTGCTCTTCTCGACTTGAAGGGCGAGCTCCTTGTCGAACAGATCAACCGTGCCCTGAATCATCCCCCCTCCATGCACGTGGAAGATTGCTGGGCCACGTGCCGGGGACGAGTTGTTCTTCTTATAGTAGCGTTTGACGGAAATGGTCCATCCGTCATACGACCGGACTTGATGAACCGTCCGTTCTACTCCCCGGGCATAGGGCAATGTCGCAAAGACGGAATCATACAGGGCAGTGATCCCTATCCGGCGAGCGTGGATATCATGCACTGCGTGCTTTGGACTGGCAGCCAATATCTTCAGGAGAGGGTCGGCGGTCTCGGCAAATGCGGGGTTCAATTCTAAGGGCATGGTGGAGGAACACTGGATATAAAGTGGACAATTGCAGTCACAGAGAAATGAAAGATAAACCTTTTTGACAGCTACCTGGGTGGGTTCGACCAGGAACTATATATTGGAAACTGTACCAACGGGTCAGGAATAGCTTGCTGCTGGTGGGGGGAGGAGGCAAAGAACAAGGAGCATCCAGCTCTTTTGAGGAATTGGATTTGCACGCCGCCCACTCGTCTCTGCGTCTATACTACGTATAGTTGGAGGGTTCTGGGCTAAATTGACCCAGGCCATCCTCGGCTAACTGATAGCTTGCTTGACGCTAAACAAGGTAGTGAATGTCATATGCAACCGCCATCGTGGCCACGGTCAACCCTCGGCGGGCCATCAGTTGCAGCAGCGTGCCTCGACAATTTATGCTTCAAGCCAAAACCTTGTGTCACTGGAGGTCTCTTTTTCCGTCTCACGACGATTGGACGCTTCGCAAAAGTATGACAATATCATTATGTCTTGAGACGGCCATATGAATGGCCTTCCCTAGTGTTACTCATAAGTAACGTAGTGACGAGGACTCCGCACCCTCCTATAGATCGATCACTAACCGATGAGAGCCGATTGTCGGCCCGCATGTTGATCCGGATATCGCTGCTCAGGACAGTCAGGTGACGCCGGCACGGGCGAAACTTCTGCTTTTCCGATTACTATCGCCGATCTCGTTCATACTTAACCACTTCAATTTTGCTTGAGCTTCAGCTTTCATTCTTTCCATCCACCGCAGCATTCATTTGCCATATTCCCTTGCTCAACATGTTTCAAAGAACCTTCCTCAGACAGGCCCAGCGGTCCGTGCTTTCCGTCCGCTCGACACCAGCTACCTCAGCCGTCCGCCGCACAGTGCAACAGCCCCAGCTTCCTCAGTTCGCTCGTCCCCTGATCCCTCAGTCTGCCGCCCGCCTCTATTCGACGGAGAACAAGGCCGAGAATGGCGAGCAAAATGGCGCCGCTGAGGAGGGTGAGGATGCTTGCCGCAAAGAGCTTGAGGAGAAAAAGAAGGAGATCATCGGCCTGAAGGTAATTGCCACCCACCCTGCTGGGCGGATATCATGAGCCACAATGGATATTTCAACACACGGGAGAGCTTTGAAATGCCGAGATCACCTGGTCTAATATCTCACAGGACCAATACCTTCGTTCCAAGGCCGACTTCATCAACCTCCAGGAGCGCACCAAGCGGGACATGGACAACTCTCGCAACTTCGCCATCCAGCGCTTCGCTCAGGACCTTCTCGAGAGTATCGATAACTTCGACCGTGCTATGCTGGCTGTTCCCAAGGAGAAGCTCGAGGCCGCCCCCACCGAGGCCAACAAGGACCTGTTGGACCTTGTTTCGGGCTTGAAGATGACTCAGAACGTCTTGATGGGCGCCTTGAAGAAGCACGGCCTCGAGCAATTCGACCCCAGCGCTCCCGCTGAGGATGGTTCGGCCCAGAAGTTTGACCCCAACGTCCATGAGGCTGTTTTCATGACCAAGGTCGAGGGCAAAGAGGACGGCGAGATCATGTTTGTTCAGAGCAAGGGTTTCCGTCTGAATGGCCGTGTCCTTAGAGTACGTGGTCTCCAGCAAAAAATTGCCTTAACCAGGGATGCTAATGTGTTTTCGTTTTCTCCAGGCTGCTAAGGTCGGTGTTGTCAAGAACAACTAAACATCTCCATGACCCCCCTCGAATACCACCGCAATTTTCCAAATCACTCCTCCCTCCTTCAATCTGTATAATACACCACGTCTCTTTTCGCCGCGATGGGGGGTTTCACCTAAATTATAATGCGATGGTTTATCCAACCGAGCATGCCGCCGGAAAACTATGACCCGGCGATTGTCGCTTTTTTTTTCCTGTCTACGAACGCATGTGTATGATACACCGTTTACTTTGCGATTGGTGTCGCCTAAGCTTTCTCCCGGTGCGCTTGTCAATGATCTGATTTCTTTTGGATTGGCGTTCTTTCTCGACTCTCTCCTCCCTATTATGTATATTACACGCAATGGTCGGTGTCTTTGTTTCTTCTTTTCTCTTGAAAAGTGATCTTATCACGTTGGGACTGGCATTGAAACGGGTGTGGGTTATGCCTGCAGGGCATCGGATCATGTTATGACTTTTTTGCATCGCCCTCTTGCCGTCAAGGCAATGCAGGGTACTTATGAAGTCTAATAGACAGTCTTCGGCCGAATGGACCAAAGACGTTATGACAGGCATGTTGATTCCTCGGAAATGCGTAGATGGATTAATTTTGTAGAAGACATGGCAATCCCACAGACACGACAGCTTCGTATTTTGCTCTGCAACTACTTTTCATACCATGGCTTGCGATAATATTGATTGAGCTGTGATAATCAGTCCATTGAGTTTCACTGAACCCCGATCATCAACTTGCAGTCGTTCGTGCACAACGTAGAATGAACCGGATGATTTTGGGGGAATCCGCTCGGGCCGTGGTTCTCCCGCCCCGGCATGTTTTGTACACTACGATCTAAAACGCCGTGAGAGAATCACCTAGCCAGCGACAACGACGCACTGGCTCAGTCTTCAGTGCAGCTCCGTTGCATCTATTCTAGAGATGCGCTTACTAGCCACTGGCCGGGCTCTGCGCGCCAGCAGCAGCAGGTGGGCCATCAATTATTCTTCTGGGAGGCACCTACGGATCCCGCTCTCGCACCTCCCGGCGCCGTCAACCATCCCCCGCCGCGAATGGAGCGCCACGGCCGTTCGCCGGACGAACGAGAAAGTTACCGATGTCACCAAGGGCTCCATCGTCGGTGGCTCTGCGGCACAGCCCCCGGCAGCTGAGGCGCAATCGTACGAGCCCGACGAATGGACCAACGTCACCGATACCATCCTCTCGCACGTCGGCCGCCGGCTATACCTGGACGAGAACCACCCGCTGGCCATCACGCGCCAGCTGATCGAGAGCCAGTTCCCGCGGCCCACGTACGGGAATTACACCGAGGAGAACCCCGTCGTGACGACGGCCGAGAACTTCGACGTGCTCGGCTTCCCCGCGGACCACCCGGGCCGCAGCCGCACCGACACCTACTACCTCAGCGAGAAGCTGGTGCTGCGCACGCACACGAGCGCCCACCAGCAGGCGTACTTCCAGCAGATCAGCCGCAACGAGCGCACCTGCCCGGAGGAGGTGGGCTACACCGTGGTGGCGGACGTGTACCGGCGGGACGCCATCGACCGCAGCCATTACCCGGTCTTCCACCAGATGGAGGGGGCCATGCTGTGGAAGCGGCCCGCGCAGGAGCCGCTGCAGCATGCCCGCGCGACGGCGGCGGCGATCCGCGCGGACGTCGAGCGCATCCCGGCCCACGACGTGGTCGTCGAGGACCCGAACCCCACCGTGCACCCGCAGCGCAACCCGCTGCAGGCCGAGTTTCACAGCGCCGAGGAGGTCGAGGAGGTCGCCGCGCACCTCAAGCGGTCGCTGGAGCGCATGGTTATCAAGATCTTCACGGAGGCGAGCAAGGCCGCGGCCGCGGCCGGGGAGGAGACCGAGCCCCTCAAGGTCCGCTGGGTCGAGGCGTACTTCCCCTTCACGAGCCCCTCCTGGGAGCTGGAGGTGTTCTGGCAGGGCGACTGGCTGGAGGTGCTGGGCTGCGGTGTCATCAAGCAGGAGCTGTTGAATAACTCGGACGTGCCGAACCGCATGGGGTGGGCGTTCGGCATCGGCCTAGAGCGCATCGCCATGCTCCTGTTCAATATCCCCGACATCCGACTGTTCTGGTCGCGGGATAAGCGCTTCTTGTCGCAGTTCAAGGCCGGGCAGATCACCCGCTTCAAGCCCTTCTCCAAGTACCCCGCTTGCTACAAGGATGTGGCCTTTTGGTTGCCCGCGGGGGCTGCCAGTGGCGGGAGTGCGGCGGGCGGCGCCGTGCCCGTGCATGAGAATGATATCATGGAGCTGGTCCGTGGGGTTGCGGGCGATCTGGTGGAGGATGTGCGTCTGGTCGACGAGTTCACGCACCCCAAGACCAAGCGCAAGAGCATGTGCTACCGGATCAACTACCGGAGTCTGGAGCGCACGCTCACCAACGCGGAGGCCAATGATCTCCACGATAAATTGCGCCAAGAGCTCGTTGGTCAGCTGGGGGTGGAGCTGCGGTAGTCGTTGTTCGATATACCAAGATAGGGGGTGTCTGTAATGTGTATAGGTGTAGATTGGATGCCTGATGACGGCAAGGCAACGGATGCGTGACTGTATGATAGGGTGTATGTAAGATCTTGGCTTGTAAAACAACAAAAGATATGACCTCTTTCCTCTTGAATAGACTTCAAGTTCCCGGCTAGGGGTCCCGTGATAGCATCCAAACTACATTCGTTTGGTGTTGTACTGCTGCTTAGTGGTTGGAATGGTTTAACTGCCTGCAGGGGCGGTATGCATTGTGACGTAGCAGAACGATTGCAGCACAGCACAGTACAGTATAGCCGGGTAGAGACATGGCAGGTGAACGCATTGGTTGCTTGGCTTTCCTTTGTGTTTCCTACCACACTAGCAATCTGGGCAATCTGTTTTTTCTCGTCTTTCTCGGTGATATCTTGTCATTTCATTCCATCATTTCCTCTTGTGCTCCATAGTAGGATGTATTGATGTATTGGCGAGAGAACACCGAGGGCCGGCCTTACCGCCTGGCCCGCTGGTCCGACGTCTAAACCGAGGCTGTGATTGGTGCATCACGGCCGAGTTCGGTTAGTGCAGCCGAACAACCCTGGAATTCGGAGACTTGATCTAAAGCCCGAATCTCTTCTTCTCGTATTGTCGCTGTACCGGATTACTCCCTGTATTTTTAAGAAGAAGAAGCAGCAGCAGCAAGCAGCAGCAACCTCTCTCTCCAGTCTCTCCTTCTTCCTTCCTGTTACGACTGGATTTCTCTCTCTCCTCTCCTCTACCAGAATCTCCCCTCCCTTTTTTTCTTTTCTTCATATCGCCCTCGCGGAATGTCCACGATGGTCAACAGTGCGAAGCTAGAGGCTTATCAACAGCCTCCTCCTCCTCAAGCGGCTGCCGCTCCGGTCCCTGCAAAGAAGATCCATTATCCTTTTTGGTTTGGTGGTTCGGCCTCTTGCTTTGCGGCCGCCGTCACACACCCTCTGGACCTTGGTAAGTTTTGGCGCTCTCTGGTGGCGGTTTATTGAGTTGATGACGCCTGGTGACTGACTCTCTTTTTTTCCCTTGGTGGTGACCTACAGTTAAGGTAAATTTTGCGCTCCATTACTTTTACAGCATCACTGGCAACAATGTCTTTGCTTCCCCGGTTCATGTGTTTCGTCTCGTCTAGTGTTTCGGGCGATGTTATCGCGATCACCAATTGAGGATTGCCGGCGTACTAACGAAAATTGGAAACTTTTGTTAGGTTCGATTGCAAACACGCAGGCCTGGAGCGCCCACCTCCATGGTGGGAACTTTTGGACATGTGATAAAGTCCGATGGCGTTCGGGGCTTGTATAGAGGGGTACGTTTTTCTTTTCTCTAGCTACGGCTTTTGGATCTGAGAAAAGGGTTGTCGGGGACAAATTGGCTAATTTCCGGTTGGTTTTGGGGGGCGTTATAGTTGTCGGCCGCGCTTCTGCGCCAGGTGACCTACTCGACGACTCGGTTCGGCATTTACGAGGAACTCAAGAACTATTTCACGACGCCCGGGTCGACGCCCAGTTTCTTCACGCTGATCGGCATCGCGTGCGCCTCGGGCTTCATCGGCGGCTGGACAGGCAATCCGGCCGACGTCCTGAATGTGCGCATGCAGTCGGACGCGGCGCTGCCCCCGGCACAGCGCCGCAACTACCGCCACGCCTTCCACGGGCTGCTCGAGATGACGCGCACGGAAGGCGCGGCCAGCCTGTTCCGCGGCGTGTGGCCGAACTCGACGCGCGCGGTGCTGATGACCGCGTCGCAGCTGGCCTCGTACGACACCTTCAAGAAGCTGTGCATCGAGCGCATCGGCATGTCGGACAACCTAGGCACGCACTTCGCGGCCTCGTTCATGGCCGGCTTCGTCGCCACCACCGTCTGCAGCCCCGTCGACGTGATCAAGACCCGCGTCATGACCGCCAGCCACGGCCACGGCCAGAGCATCCCCAGCCTGCTGCGCGAGATCACCCACAAGGAGGGCTACGTCTGGGCATTCCGCGGCTGGGTGCCCAGCTTCATCCGGCTGGGTCCGCACACGATCGCCACTTTCATCTTCCTGGAGGAGCATAAGAAGCTCTACCGGTGGGTGAAGGGGATCCCGGAGGAGAAGCGGTAATTCCGCTTTCTCTGCTTTTTTTTCTCGTTTCATCCTCTCTTTCCCAGTCATATCTGGGACTGTCTATACACCGCTTTGATATCCACGATACAATCTCAGCTAGGATATCTGTCTAGCATATCATCGTCCTTCATCTTGTTCATGTTGGGGTTTTGGCGAAGCATTGTGATTTTTTGGGTGGCTAAAAGTTTTTTTTTTCCCTTGGTACGATGTGTTCATTTCTCCTGCGGGCATATATCGCTTGTACATAATATCGTTTTCTCTCTCTTTTGTGCTGGACTTGATGGCTGATTGAAGTGAGACAACACCTTTCTCGGTGGCTGTGAGTAATCCCCCTTCACCTGTCGCTTTATTACTTCCACTCCCGATCAGATGGAGATGAGGCCAGAAGCATCTGGGTGGGAGGAGTTCTCTGCATTATAACGCTTGGTGGGGAGCGTGTGAGTGAGTGAGAGCGTGGCATTCGTTAGTTGAGATAGACTAGATATGAGATCTACAATAGACACATAGAGACTTTAGATTGCGAGTTGTGGATTGGAGTTTCTCAGTACTGTAGAAAACAAATGTATGCAGTCGCGCAGATAGCTTCGTATCCATCCTCTGAAGCAATATGCTGAGGCATTGCATTGCAGCTTCCTAGCCGAGAAAGCTAAGAAACTCATGTACTCGGTATCAATTCCTAGGGCAGTAAGTCGTTCATATTCTAGGAAAGGAATCTCTCTCTTTGTGAGCATATCAAAGACGCTACATGTGACACCAATCAGTTCATAGGGGTATTAAATAAGATGTACAGTATAAACTATTGTCTCGAGAGGCTGGGGGGGGGGGAGATCGGATCGTATGATGTCCGCCGGATCTGTATCGGTATCGGCGACTGGGGTTACGGAGTGCCGTGAGTGATATCGTCTCCTAATCATCCTTTCTGGAATGCAACTTCAATCGACTGATATGAGAGGCCCATTGACTGATAGATTAGATAGACAGGGATCATATACTGCTAAACTCGTTCTCGGTTTTTTTTTTGAGGGGGGGGTTTTTGCACACTACGCGACCTTTCCATGTCCATACAGTTAGCTCCCTCTGGATCAATTCCAGACAAGATGCAAGGAAAGGCAAACACTCCAGATCAAATCAACGAAAAAGGCCATGAAAGAAAAAAAGACATTTCCCGCTTGATTTGTTCAATTCGGGGGGGTTGGCCCCGAATCAGGGTAGTAGAGTACATTTGTTTGACCAAGAAATAAAACAAAGGCACACGGAAACTTTAACACATAGATTTGTTCAACTTTCTAGCAATCTACTCCAGGCGAGCGGGGAAGTTTCCAGCCTCTGTTTTTGAGGGGTTAGTATTTGGGATTTGCTGTTGAAGGTAAAAGCGTGGAGGGATGGGGGATGAGTACGTACCGCGCTGGGTATCCCATCGGTCAGTCCAGGCCTTGGGGCAGAGGGAGCGGAAAGCGTGGTAGAACTGGTGATTATGGAAAGATTAGTACTGGAGCTGTGATGGGTTTGCTGTGGTGGTGGTGGCGGTGGTAGGCAGTTGCGGGTTTGGTAGCCGAGGAGGATGAGGAGGGGGGTCGATATACCTGACGGCATGGGCGGAAGTCCTCGCCCTTGGCGTTGACACACTTGTAGTAGTCGACGTAGTTCTGCCAGCAGTGCTTGGTCCTATTCAATTGCATTAGTATCAAGTTGGACGAAAGGCGAAGGAAGGAAATTGGCTTATCACGTACTGGTTCTGCTGGGGGAAGCGAGCGTCATAGCCTGTATATCGTTACATCAAGACATTTGGTCAGTCAGCTTGCCCACCACGATTGATGAGGAACCCGCCGGGATCGTTCATCGATAAGCGACCGAATCAACGAAGAACCTGGAGAGAAACGTACCGGCTGCATACTAGTTAGCAATTGACCTCAATTGGGGATCGAAGGCATAGGTCGGATTATCCGGGTTTGGGAAAGCTCACCTGTCACGAACTTGAAGGGCTTGGTCTCCTGGGGCTCATCGGGATCGGCTTCAGGAATGGCACCCATTGTGGCGGTTCTAAGGACAGAGCCTGGAAAGGAATCTAAAACTGGGGAAAAGGAAAAGGGTGGGTGGTGGAGAGGGGGGAGGGGGGAGGAGGAGGGAAGCAAGAGAGAGGGCTTGGAGAAAGAAAGATGGGGGTGAGGTTTGCGCGCTGGTGGAGTGGAATGATCCCGTGAAGCAGTACAGCCGGGCCCCAAGTTCAGCCTTGACCGCCTACTGTAGCGAGCCACTCATGCGCCTACCTTTCCTAAACACCCCGATCCGTCATCTCGAGGTAGTTTGCTGCTGCCTGAGTCATCAAGGCCGTGAATCGGAACTCGTGATCCAATTCCACAAGGCCCGAATGAGCTCAACTTCCGTCACCAACATCCTCTCCTCTCCCACCCCCCATCCAAACCACCTCCAGCCAGGCCTTCACCCCACACTCGATCGCCATGTATCCCACCACCATCATGCGCATGCAGGCCACTCGGCCTTTCGCTTTTCCTACTCCTGTGAGTTTCTTCTCTCCCTTCCTTTCCCCCCTCGTGGTTGTGACCCGGGAAAAATTGGGCTTGGCAGTTGCATGATGGCTAACAAACGTTGCAGAAGGAAAACCAGAGCGGTATGAAGCTTTCCCCCAATGCGCCATTGCCGACTAGAAGCGTGCAAGAGTGTATTTCTGGAAGTTGCAATTGGACTAACACAGAGCTCTAGCCCACACTATCTCCCAGCGTCTGCGCACCCTCAAGCGCATCCCCCCGGAGTTGATCCCTCTTGGTATGTATTTCTCGTGCGCCATTATGGTCCAACGGTGTTTACAGATAGGCTAACCATCATGTCTGTCACTTTACAGGTCTTGTCTTGGGGTATGTGCATAGTAGTTCCTGGTTCAATTGACTTGTTACATCACACGGATCGAACATGATCTAACTCCTTCTTCTGACCCCTCCTCACCAACTCCCTACCCACCCTCACCGAACGTGCCATCGCTAACGCTTCTTCCCACAGTGTCGCCGTCGGTGCTGCCATCTACTCCAGCTCCAAGAAGCTCATGACCGACAAGACCCTCCGTCTGTACCGCAACAGCCCCGAGTCCCGTGAGCACTAGAGAATGTACCATCACACTTTGATTCCAAATTGCAATGGGCGATTCTTTGTTTTGTTTTGATGGCGATCTGTACTATCCACGGGAGGTAGAGGGAGATTGCATGGTGTCGCGGCGGATGCCGACGGAAAAAAAGCTCGGCATATCTCAAGCTCAGGGTTGCAGCGCGTGTATATAGTACGGCTTTAAATCGAAGGGTTCTGATGCAGTGCTCGTGCAGTCTTACGGCTGGCTATGTCCTGTAGTGTCCCTGCCAATTCACTCCGCGTGGCGTGTAGAAGATGCCCTGGGCATTTCATTCAGGCTTTGGGCCGGCAACGTCCATCTCTACCAGTCCTTGCATGGGGTCTTCGGTCTCCGCGTTAGCGCCTGCTTGAGCCTGCTCTGTGGTCAATCTATCTTCCTCGCTGACTGCGTATTTGGCCAAGTAGCCCTCCTGTAGTGAAACGCCATTAGCTCGTAGGTTCGTGGAATCTGATGTCCCGTTTGGTCGCGTACCTGTTCCCAGATAGCGGTCTTGCTGCCCAGCCCCTCGTTGCTCTCCCTTTGCGGTTTCGCGGCGGCGACCTTGATCGTACGTCCGTACAGCTCGCTGCCATCCATATTGTCGATGGCCTCTTTCGCATCCTCGGGCAGGTCGAACTCCACATATCCAAAGCCACGGTGGGATTCGTTCGAGTTGGGCAGGTCGGGTTTAGGCAGGGTGATGTCCACGACCTCGCCAAAGGGGACAAATGCCTCCGCCAGCGTCTGCATCGTCACGGCCTGGTCCAGACCCCCCACATAGATGGTACACTTCAAACGAGCCTTTTCACTCATGGTTGCTGCTTTGCGGGGCGGTTAGGATGGTAATTTTGAGTGTGAATAACCGTACTCGCTGAATGGACCACAAATTGCTTGAAACGGGAGCTTTGGGGGGGGCACGGGCCCAGCTTATAGGATTATATTGAAGCTTGGTTGTCAAGCTTCCTTGCCCGGTCGATCTTCGGAGTGGGCGCAGACTTTCGCGGAGAGTCAGAGACAGAGAGAGAGGCTGATATCAATCACGTGCCATGCCGGGGCCAAAGTGGTTAAGCGGGTCAGTCGCAGCGGCCCCCCCGAGGAGGACACTTGGTTGATTGCCGTCACGCCTCGAATCGCCAGTCGACTTGGCAACTCTCACCTGTAACCTGCACCCCTCGGTTTCTCCTGTCTTGTGTCAGAGAGGGGAGGTTTTCTTCTATTTCAGTTTTTTATTTCTCTGCTCCTACCTACACGACTTTGGGTCCTCGGATTTCCATTACACTCCCGTTCCTCTTTCAGTTCTTCCCCCCCCGCATCCAATTCATTCATTTGCTGGCCAGAACAACAATCCCCCCCCCCCCCGCAATAGCCAGCTCCGTCGCCTTCTAATCTATACCTCCATCTTTCCCTGCCGCTCTTTTCCACCTTCACCATGGTTCGTCTGAGGGAAATCCCCCGGACGGCCACCTTTGCCTGGTCTCCTGGAGCTGCTTCACCATTGATTGCTACGGGTACTCGCGCCGGCGCCGTGGATGTCGACTTCTCCAATCAAACGTGTCTGGAGCTCTGGGATCTCAACCTGAGCCGCCACGAGGCCGGCGGCGAGCTGCAGCCGGTAGCGAAGATTGACACTGATTCAGGGTGCGCTTTCTAGCTTTCCAATGCTTTGGGGTTGTACGCAAACACTAACTCTTTTGCTCGAATAGCTTCAACGACTTGGCATGGACGGATTCCGAGGACAGCTCTCGGGGCGTGATCGCGGGTGCCTTGGAGAATGGATCTTTGGATCTGTGGGATGCCGATAAGTTGCTCGGTGGTTCCAGGTTCGTGCTGTCGTCCCTACAACCGCGTTGTAGTTTGTCAAATTGGCTGACGCCCGGGCAGTGATGCCGTCATCTCGAGGACCAACAAACACTCAGGGGCTATTAAGGCTCTCCAGTTCAACCCCAAACACTCCAACTTGCTGGCCACCGGTGGTGCCAAGGGCGAGGTACAATGCCCCCTTATTCATGTTTGAACAATGGATGTTGGAGCTCATGTTTACCATTAGCTGTACATTTCCGATCTGAACGACATTGCGAACCCCTCTAGACTCGGAGGCACAGCCGCCCGCGCAGATGACATCGAATGCTTGGATTGGAACAAGAAGGTTGCACACATCCTGGTCACGGGTAGCAGTGCCGGCTTCGTGACCGTGTGGGATGTCAAGACCAAGAAGGAGAGCTTGACGCTCAACAACATGGGCCGGAAAGCTGTCAGTGCTGTGGCCTGGGACCCGGAGAAGGTGAGACTCTTACCGTGACTGTCTGTGGGTGTGTTTTGCTGACCATCACCAGCCTACGAAACTTGTCACGGCCACACCGCTCGAGTCGGACCCCCTGATCTGTGTGTGGGATCTGCGTAACTCTCACGCCCCGGAGAGAACCCTCCGTGGCCACGAATCCGGCGTCTTGTCACTATCCTGGTGCGCCCAGGATCCCGATCTGCTCCTCTCCTCCGGCAAAGATAACCGCACCCTCTGCTGGAACCCCCAGACCGGTCACGCCTACGGCGAGTTCCCCGTTGTCACAAACTGGACTTTCCAGACGCGCTGGAACCCTCACAACCCCAACTTCTTCGCCACCGCTTCGTTCGACGGCAAGATTGCCATCCAGACCATCCAGAATACCAGCACCGAAACTGCCCAGGCCATTGCCGACCAGAACCAGGCCCTCGATGGCGAGGACTTCTTCGCCAAGGCCCAAACTCAGCCCCAGGTCTCCAGCTTCTCGCTGCCCAAGGCCCCCAAGTGGCTGGAACGGCCGTGTGGCGCAACCTTTGGATTCGGAGGCAGAGTTGTCTCTGTCAACCTAGTTGAGAAGGGTCAGCGTGCGTCGAAAATTAAGATTACCCCGTTCGAAGTTGATGAGGCGGTTGGAAAGTCGACCGAGACCTTTGAGAGCGCGCTCAAGGAGGGTGATTTGCGCAACATCTGCGAAACTCGGGCTGCCAACGCCACCAGTGAAGAGGAGAAGGCCGACTGGAAGGTCATTGAGGCCTTGATCTCGGCCGATCCTCGCAAGGGTCTGGTCGAGTATCTCGGATTCGCGGACCAGGCTGACGAGGCTGCTGATAGCTTAGCCAAGCTGGGTCTGAACAAGGAGGACGACGAGGAAGTCAACGGCGAGGAGCCCAAGGAATCCCGCGGGTCGGGGGCCAAGAAGCACCGTCGTCTGCAATCCGTCTTCGACACAAGCGCGGACGCAGATAACTTCCTGTCTGACCTGGCTGCTTCCAAGGGTGCCAAGACCAATAACCCCTTCCACATCTTCAACGGAGAGGAGACCGAAGCGGACACTGGCATCACCAGAGCGTTGCTCCTCGGTGACTTCGAGAAGGCCCTTGATGTCGCACTCAAGGAGGATCGTCTCTCGGATGCGTTCATGATTGCCATCTGCGGAGGCCAGAAATGCATTGAGAAGGCCCAGGAGCACTACTTCTCCAAGCAAACCAACAGCCCGAACTATGTGCGTTTGCTCGCATCTATTGTGGGCAAGAACCTCTGGGATGTTGTCTACAACGCCGATTTGTCCAACTGGAAGGAGGTTATGGCAGCTCTTTGCACTTTTGCCGACGAGAAGGAGTTCGCGGATCTCTGTGATGCTCTGGGTGACCGCTTGGAGGAGGAGCTCCGTAACTCGGATGACAAGGCCCTTCGCAAGGATGCCTCGTTCTGTTTCCTGGCCGGTTCCAAGTTGGAGAAGGTTGTTGCTATCTGGATTGAGGAGTTGCGGGAGCGTGAGCAGAAGGCCATCGAAGCCTCTGCTGACGATTCTGCTTTCTCGATCCACGTCCGTGCTCTGCAGAGCCTGATTGAGAAGGTGACGATTTTCCGCCAGGTCACCAAGTTCGAGGACACCGAGCGTACCAAGGAGTCGGATTGGAAGCTCAGCACGCTGTACGACAAGTACATCGAGTATGCCGACGTTGTTGCTACCCATGGACGGCTGCAGGTCGCACAGAAGTACCTCGATCTTGTGCCTGAGAAGCACCCTGAGGCCGAGATCGCCAGAAATCGCATCCGCCTGGCAACGAGACAAGCCGCTCCTCAACGGACGCAGACTGCAACCAGCGCAGCTGCCAGGCCCAATCTCAACAAGCCTCTTCCTCAGCCTGCTTTGGGTGGATACCAGCCCACAAGAACCTTCTCGCCTGTGGCGCCTGCTGCAGTTCCCAGCCCTTATGCTCCTGCTGCTCCCGCTGCTGCTCCCTCGAATCCGTACGCCCCCCCGACTGCTGCGGCCGCCAACCCATATGCTCCCCCGACCGCTGGTACAGTCAACCCTTATGCTCCTCCGACTGCCGCGGCACCGGCCCAGCCGACGAATCCGTACGCTCCCTCCACCGCCGGCAGCGGCTACACTCCCGCCGGATATCAACCGCCACAGGCCCCTACCTATGGTGCTCAGCCTCTAGGTGGCACTGTGCCCCCGCCTCCACGCGCGACCAACCAGTCTCCGGCCAACACCATTACCACGTACACCACGGCCACCAACCTGCCCGCGTGGAATGACTTACCCGAGGGATTCGCTAAAGCACCTACGCCCCGTCGGTCGACTCCTGCCACTGCTTCCGCGCCTATCAGCGCTCCGTTCCCGAACCAGTCTCCTACCCTCGCGCAAGGCCCTCCTCCCCCAGTTGGAGCACCTGTCGGCCGGACCCCCTCGGTCCCCCCTCCGCCCAAGGGCGGCGCCCCTCCTCCTAGAGTGATGTCGCCGCCCTCGGCCGTTCCTACGCTTTCCTCGATGCCTCCTCCTGCGGCCAACCCCTATGCCTCCCTGCCTCAGTCTCCCCCCTCGGCCATGGGCGTGCCCGCTTCAATCCCTCGGGGACCTTCGCCTTACAACGCACCTCCTACGATGCCGCCCCCCACAAATCGGTACGCACCGAGCCCGGCTGCTCAAGCCGCCAGCCCCCAGCTCCAGACGCGGGCGCCCGTTCCTCCCCCTCCGCAGGCCGCTGCCTCCCCGTATGCCCCTCAGCCCGCCATGCAATCATTAGCGAACCAGTACGCTCCTAGCACGCCTTCGCCCATTGCCCCACCAGTGCAACAGCATGCGCCTCCCCCACCCCAGGCCGCGGGATCCCGACCCAGCACGGCCTCTTCGCAGAAGAAGCCTGCCCCGGCGGCGCCCAAGTACCGTAAGTAGATCATGTTTCTGTCAAGTTGGCCAAAATACTAATGGGTTCCCAGCCCCTGGTGACCGCTCCCACATCCCCGCCGATGCCATGCCCGTGTACGAGATCTTGTCGGCGGACATGCAGCGAGTGAAGTCGCGGGCCCCGTCTTCGTTCAAGGCGCAGGTCGACGATGCGGAACGGCGACTGAATCTTCTGTTCGACCATCTCAACAACGAGGATCTGCTGAAGCCTAACACGATTGCGGACATGGCGCAGCTTGCTCACGCCATCCAGGCGCGTGACTATGAGACGGCGCGCGCGATTCACGTGAACATCATGACCAACCGGACGGACGAGTGCGGTAACTGGATGGTACGTCATTCTTGGTAACTATTATTTCGCGCTAGGCTAATCGAGACACTAGGTTGGAGTGAAGCGTTTGATCAGCATGAGCAAAGCCACGCCGTGACGGTTGAGTATGTGACGATCATGAGTTGTATGTACAAGGCAAGAGTTTCCTATAATTGTTTGACTGTACTGGACTTTTGAGCCCTGGACCCGGCCGACGTGGGGTTTGGCTGGCAAGGGGGTCGCCCTTTTTTCTTTATTATCCCGCTGTTAATTGTTGATATTATGTTTTATCTGGCCTTGGTAGAAGTAAAAGAGGGTAGACATGTTGTTTTTATTTTCTTGACGTAGATCGGAGGCAAGCACTTGCTGGCAATGTATGTTGTATTATACCTATTGTATAACCACATCGGCATCAATCAAACTATCTATTTACACCGTCTGCTCTCTCCTCCTTCAACAGGTCTCCCTCCCCCTTGAATATCCAATCAACCCCTGAAGCAAAAGCCCAACCTAATCCGAACCCGGCCGCCCAACCCTCCCCAAAACCGATGACGACGAGCCTCCTCCCAGAGCCCGCCCAGCAGCCCCGGCTCTCCCCCCACCCGCCGGAAAGTTCCTGGCACTCAACAACGCCCCCTTGACACCGCGGATCTCCGTCCGAAAAGTCGCAATAGCATCCTCCTCCCCTTTCCCCAACCCCAGCCCCCCATTCCCGTTCCCCCCGGTGGTAGTATTACCGGACTCTATCCCGGGGGTACTGAACACCCCATACCCGGCCATGGGGTTGAACATGGCCCCGCCCCCGGGTTTACTGTAGATATAGGTATCCAGGTAATGGTGCAGGTCATTCAGCTTGGCGCGCAGGGCGGTGTCGAGCTCCGAGGCGGACTGGTCGGTGTCCGTGAGGGAGCGGAGGTGGGCCGTCAGGGTGTGCATTCTGGACGTGTGGGAGCGGGCTTTTTCGAGGGGGGTGGAGGTGGGGTTTTGGGTGGTTTCGTTTGTGGCTGTGGTGGTGGTGATTAGGGAGGGTTGGGTGGGTTCGAGGGGCGGGCTGGGGCTGGTTTGCACGGCGACGTCGCGGTGGAAGAGTTCCGTTGGGTCGGAGGTTATGGATTCTGCGTCTTCGTCTTCGTTGTCTTTCGGGTGGATGGTGGTGTCGAGGGGGCTTTGTGGCGGGGGCGGGATGGTCGAGACGACGGATTCGAGTTTCGTGTTCAGCGTGCGTAGGTTGGTGGTGGTGGTTTCGGCCAGGTCGTGGCGCGCGGCGGTCAGTTGCGCGATCATCGGTTTCACCAGGTATTCGCTGGCGGCGTAGAAGGTTGTTGCGAGGCCCGCGGCGCCGTAGAGGGTGTAGAGCGTGCTGCGCAGGGTGATGAGGGGCGGTTGCGTGGCGGGCGTGGTCAGGAATTCGGGGTAGGTGATTATTGGGGGGATGTCGCGGGGTGCTGTTGCTGGGGTGGAGGTGCTGGCGCTGGCGCTGGCGCTTGTTGATGGAGTGGTTGCTGTGGAGGAGGAGTGTGGTGGAGATGCGTTGCTGCTGCTGCTGCTGCTGCTGCTGGGAGCTTCGTGGTTGTTGGCGACCTCGACCTCGGGGTTACTGCTCTTTTCCGAGGTGCTGAACTCCCCAGGGGAATGGCTCAGCAGAAGGTCAATCTCATCGTTGCGCAGGCCCTTGGACTCTAGGAATGTTCTCTTGCGGTCGATGGGGGCATCGCGAATGGAGTCATCCTGGAGGAACTTGGCGGCTTGGTCGAGGAGCGCTGGGCGGTCTTCAGTGTCGTTATCTGCGCTTGGGTTGGTGGTGGTGTCAGTGTTGCTGTTCTCCGAGCTGGCATTGGACTTTTGCCACTCTGGGATTGACGACTTTGGCTTGTCTGCCATGGTGATCACGCAAGGAAGCTGTAAGGTGAGAGTAGAGTAGAGTGAAGATGGGAGGAGGAAGAGGAAGAGGAGATGCGGAGTCCGGCAGGCGGAGATGGACAGTCACTCAGATAAACCTCGGCTGTATCGACCGAGTGTGATAAGACCAGGCCGACCCCGAATTCGGCCTGGTTTGGCTGCTAAGCACGACTTGCTTACTATGAATTTTTGGGGCATCGATATGATCATTTGACTGGAGAAGTAAGAAGTTACAATCAGGGTTTTCTATTATACATAGACAGGTAGAGATAACGATGTTCTTTCCAGGGAACTTCTTGGGGCACAGCATGTGCATGCCGCGGTGATCTGGATATATCTTGGAGAGATCTATTTCGGTGGAGCAGTTTCTACGCTTGGATAGTCCACTGTCTATGCCCGCTGATTTCAGGTACTCTAAGCTATCCATCCCAAGCTCGCGAAGCACTGCAATAGCACTCATGCCCTTGCCTGTCAACACGGAACCACAATAGGCCATGGAAGTATAAGTATAGAAGGTCGAAGTAGAGGGTCACCAAATACCGCAGCGAACGCCAAGGATACCGACCGCCCGGCACAAAGTGGCGGCGGTGAAAGAGCATCCGAAGATTATTCGATCTTCGCCCATCATCGATCAATGGATGGATGGATACATAGTTTGTCTGAATCAGATTCAGGATCAGGGCTGAGACCGACTGCTTCGATTCGCACGATCGGCCGTCCCCGCCGCATTATTGATCAGTTCGTTTGAAGAGACTGTGGTTGGAACGCGACGCCTCGTTCTATCCTTGAAGCCGGTGAGTGGATGCTCAAGTCTGTTGTTGTTTCTCATCGATTTCCGCCCATTCACCCCATCCCATCCCATCATTCATTTGGCTGTTTCTGCCCCCTTCTCGGTTGCACTGGCTGGCTGCGTGATCGAGATCCCCAAGAGAAATCCTTGGATCGAATGCCACTGCCCCTCCTCCTGCCCCCCAGTCCGGATCAAGCCCCCCTCGGCGCAGGAAACCATCCTTGGGTGATCCGGGGTTGCGCAACAGCAACGGACTGCAGCGCCGTTTGGGTTCACCGTCTGAGGACAAGGAGGCCGCGAATCCTCCCATTGGCTCTCCGACCTCGTGAATCAAATGAATCAAGTGGCTGCTCGATCGTCGTCTGATTGGGGTTGGGGTTGATAATCCATGCTCCATGCTCCATGCTCCATGCTCCATGCTCTATGCTCTGTCTGTGCCTTGCCGCCCCCGCCCCTCTTCTCCTCGATGAAAGGAGGATGATTGAACGCGAGAAAGAAAGATGGTGAACGTGGCGGAGATGTGAGATGTGAGATGTGGAAGGAAGCATAGTTGAAATGAAGTCAGGGAAAAAGGAAGGAAGAGGAAGAAGATGACGACGAAATTGCTGATGTCTGATGTACCAACCAACAACACATCAGCAGCAGTCGCAGCAGTCAGAAAGACCTCTCTCCTTCTGATAGATGGACTGCGCTTCACTCCCCTCATTTCATTTCTCCCTCAGTCTTCCAGCTCTTCCGTCCGCCCCTCTCCTCCCTCCCTCCAACACCTTCATTTTCACTCGTCCATCCTTCGTGACTGTAATTTCCGTCTCCTCATCACACATCACACCTCAACACTACCCCCGTATCGTATCTCCTCTGCTTAGCCTGATTCCCCCGCATCACATCCTCACATGGGCCCTGGAAGGCTCTGTTTGCTTTTTTCGCTTTTCTACTTCCAACTACTTGTTCACTTTCCCTCTGTCTATCCATCGTGCAAGTGACGCAGCTTTTGTCCGCCCGCGCAAATTCCCTCTGGACGCTTGACTATAAATCACTCGTCACGGAAGCTCGCAATTGCTCATCGCTTCCCCTAATTCCCCGCAACCCACCATGTCGCTCCGTCGCTCACTGCGTTCCCGCGGGGGGCGCAATGACCCACCAAGCATGATAGATATTAACGACTCTCCCAGATCCACAAGAAGCACCCGCGCTGCTGCTGCTGCTGCTACTGCTGCTTCATCCACCCCCGCAGTGACCGCGGTGTGTGTTCCATCAGACGTGCCCGGGGAATCATCCAAGCGATCGATTCATCTGACCGTCAAGATGCCCTCCAACAAGCTCAGAGAAGTCACCGGAGGAAGCGCCCGAGGAGCGCCTGCCACTCGGCGCTCGGTGAATGTCTTCACCGAGAACCCCATCATCACGGGCCCCCGCACTAGCCGGCCCAGGAAGAAGCTGGTTGAAGTAGACACCAGCGACGAGGATGATCTCGAAGACCAGGAAGAGGACGAGGTCGACGATGAAGATGCTCCCGGTGAGGACGAGGAGGACGAAGATGAGGAGGACGAGGACGAGGACGAAGAGGAGGACGAAGATCTCGATGCTGAAGGAGATCTCGACATGGATGATGCCCCACCGCAACCCCCAGTGCCTAAGCGACACGCAAAAGCAGCTGCCGCTGCCGCTGCCGCCGCACCTAGTGCGAAAGCCGTCAAGAGTGTCGAGGAGAAAGAGATGGAGTTGGACGACGACGATGACGATGATGATGAGGAGTTGTCGGAACCAGACACCGACGCTGAGGGTGAGCCTGATGACCAGGACGAGAGTATGATGGTGACCGGGAACGGAGGAGAGGAACTGGACGAGGAGGATGAGGACGACGAAGATCTCGACAGTGACGGGACCCCGACTGCGGATCTCACCCGCATGACCAAACGGCAGCGAGGGAATCTGGGAAATGACTTCCTGCAACTCCCGATGGGTAGGACTTCCGCATCACTGGCATCCGGCCATGACTGACCGCACGCAGAACCCCAGGTGAAGAAGCACCTGACCGCAGAGGAGCGCGCTATGCGCCGCGCGGAAATGGCCCGTCGCCGAAAGAACCTTAGCGAGAAGCGGAACGAAGAAGAGAAGGTGTGTAATACTTGAGCCTGATCGAGCCTTCTCAAGCTCATGACCCCGCGCGCGCGCGCACTAACCACCGTTCTAGATGGATACCATCAACCGCCTGCTGCGCAAGCAGGCCCCCAAGCGCCGAGGACGCATCCCTGCCGCCGAGGCAGCCGAGAATGCCACCGCAGACCAAGAGATCCAGGAAGCGTATCAAAAGCCGGACCCCACGATGGTGCGCTGGGTCAGTGGCCGTGCTGGCAGCCGCGTGGGCGTGCCGGAAGAGTGGGTTGGCACGCCGGCTGCACAGGTCTTCGGCGCTGGACCCGGCAAACTAGTCCAAGAGGTATAGAAGGAGGGAGGGGAGGGGTTCGGCGGCGCACAATCGGAGCTGAGGCGTTTTATTGGCGGGTTACAACCAGGAAGGACATGTATGCTAAATTGAACTGATTTCTTGTTTATGTGACTGTATGATACAATATGATATGATAGTATACATGATGGCTTTTTTCATCGGCGAACCATGTCGGAGCCTCCCTTCAAGCAGAGTATTCGATACCTCGGGTCTGTGCATAATAGCCATCAGTACCCGCCATGGACTCTTCCAGCTCCCCCCCAGGCCCAGCGAGAGCACTGCATATAAGAGAAGTGCTCGCCCGCACCGCCCAGCAGCACGCATGGCAAGCACGTTGCACCTTGCCCCATGGGCACGAATATAGTGATATAGACCTCGTATGTCCATCTAACCAACCCCCAAAAGTTCCCTCACTGCCCCGCTGCCTTCCCCACCCCCGAATCCGTCGTAGACGAGGTCGTAGACGCAGCAACCGCCTCCGAAGGTGTAAGTGTAGTTGTAGATGTAGGCAGCGCCGAACCGGTAGATTTCCTAGACCATTCCCCTACCCATCAGCATCAATCCTATCCAGCATACCCCCCCTCCCTCTCTTCTTTGGCAAGTAATCCCCCCAAACCCAAGACCTAAGTCTCCCCCCGCCGCCAGACCTCAACCCCAGGGAAGTGGAGTGATTGAAAACATACGAATTCAACGACTGCTGCTGCTGCTGCTGCTGCTGTTGGTGTTGCTGCATCTCCTTGAAATACGGTTGCCAGACATAGTACCCTACCCCCCCGCAAACAAAAGTTGTTAGTTCTGGTGCGAATGCGTCGGACAGCCGGGCATTCTTTTTGGGGGGGAGGGGAGCAGCAGGGAATGGGAGCAGGGAAAGAACATCACGCACCGCCGAGAACTCCGGCGCCGATGGATAGGGCTACGGGGACGAAGTTGCGGCTCATCTTCTCGTTTGTGGATTAAACTTTGGGGAGGGGTGAGTGAGGAGGTACGGGTGGTGTGGTGTGCTTTGATTTGTACTGTCCAATGCTGCTGGACTCGGAGAATAGAATGTGAGTGTCAGTGTCAGTGTCAGTGTAGATCTCCGGAGCCGAAGGAGCAGCAGGAGCTTATCGGGCGGGGAGGGGTGGCAGAACTATCTACTGCGAGTATGATGCTGGATTGATTGCGTCACGTGGCGAGGGGTTCTACTATAACTACTCCGTGGTGGTCGTTGGGAGCATGACTTTCCCTTTTGGGATGTTATGTACTTGTGAGGATACGACAAGGATGAGAACCCGAAAATCAAGAGAGGGAAGAGAAGAACGCAAATCTCGTAACTCATCATTAAAGCCTGACCTGCCATCTATAACTATCCTGCCAAGGGGAAAAAATGGTTCAACGCAACTAAGATGTACTGTACTTTTTGTTGTAAATTTTATGACTTGGATTTCTGTCTCAATCCACAGACATAAGCATCATCATCAATGGTTCATATGCCTCAAAAAGCAAAACAAAGGTTCGGTGGTATCATAGATAATCTATCTCGTGCTCTCTCGCACACCCCTAAGATCCCCTGGGCGATTCTAGCCAAGGAATCCCAACACGTCTGGAAAGTAGGTAAGTTCAGTGAACCACCTCCTCCAGAGTCCGCGCCTTCCGCGGGAACACCCGCTTGTACAGACTGATACCGATGGAATCCTGGGGATTGATCTTGGCATCGAAGGTGGCCTTGAAGTAACCGTGCGTGCCAAGGGACTCCTTTATGAAACCGCTGCGGCCGCGGCGGGTCCACAGCTGCATGGCCTTGAACCACTGGATGTCCTCGGAGTTGAAGAACATGTACCGCACGGTGACGACGCGTTTGTGGATCTTGTACGGGTGGCCCGTGAGGATGGCGCGCTTGGCGACAACGCGGTTCTGGTCGGGCGCGATGACCGTGCCCTTGCCGATGAGCTCGAGGCGGTCGAGACGGGGGCTCTCCTCCTCCTCTTCGTCGGCGGCGTCGGCCATCTCCTCCGGGTCCTCGGCGGCGGTGGGTTTCTTGCTCTTGAAGACGAGCACGGGCACCGCGCCCCAGGTCAAGGGACCGATCCAGGTGGCGACGGCGCTGCGGCCCGGGTGTAGGAAGCGGTCGAATTTGTGGACGTTGTTGGGGGTGTTGTCGCCCGCGGAGAAGATCGGCTTGACGACCAGGCGGCGTGGGCCGTACTGGACGATCAGTTCCTCCTTGGACTTGAGGGGCTCCTCGACGCTCGAGTTGAGGTGCATGTTGATGTTAACCACCGTGTGCTTGTGTTCGTGACGCAGCAGCGAGAAGAGGGAGAGGGGTTGAGGGCGGCTGCGGAGGGCGGCGGGCACAGCGCGCAGGCGCACGTCCACCCGCGCGCCGGGGTTGACTCCGCCGACGAGAGCTTCGCGGAGGAACTTGTTCCTCGCGCCCTTGTAGTCGGCGAACTGGAGCAGGCGGCGCCAGTCCTCGGGCTCGTGCGCACGGTCCTCGGAGGTCTCCCACGGGCTGGTCTTGAAGTTCTTCAGACCGCGGAAGCGGGCCAAGCGCTCGCGGGCGAGAACGTTCGGGTGCAGCTCGATCTCGTCGGGGAACTCCAGGTCCTCCTCGGCCTCGTTGCGGCGGCTGGCCCGGTACTCCTCTAGCTGTCGGGCATCATCCTCGGGCGACGGATCAACGAACATCTCGGACTGGGGATATTCCGAGGGGCCAGCCTCCGTCATGGCATCTCCGTGGTCCGGGAACACACCGTCCTCAGGGGCGCCGGCAGTGTCCATCGTATCGTCGCCCATCGCAACGTCCTCCTCATCCTCCCAGTCGGATCCCGAGTCCGAGATGTTGTCCAAGAACCATGCGGACTGATACTTGGAAGTACCCTTGGGCAGTCTCTTGGGCTTGGGCAGGCTATCTTCCTCATCCTCGGAGAAATAGTGGTGGTCATCCAGGAGGACACCCTTGCGCTCCTCCCCAGCGAAGGAGTACTCATCGTCCTCCATCTCGATCTCCTCGGGAGCAACGGTGGCCATGTCATCGTGATCCGCTGTAGGCGAGTCCAAGAGCTGCGGCGCCTCGTTGTCATCCACGTTCATCGCATCGTCCCGCTTGCTTCGCGTCGTGGCGAGAGGAGCTGCTGTGATAGAGGCGACCTGGAAGTCACCCCAGCCGGGGATGTGAACGAGACGGTCGGCCTTCAGGCCCTTTCCGCGCACGACACCGGTCACGACCACATCGTCCACAACCTCGGCGCTGTTCTCGGGCCATTGCACATTTTCGATAAGCATCCAGCTGCGCTCGTCGCGCCAGCGGATACCCTTGGGGGCCGCCGTGCACAAGGAGCGAACCGCGTTGGAGCATTCTTGACGGGAGTCGACAGAAAGAACCTTTTCGATGGAGGGGAAGAAATGGCTGACGAAAGACTTGAGGGATGCCGCAACCTGGGGACGCTTCTTGGGTGGGTTGATCTTATCAAGGCCCTATGACACGCATATCATTAGCACAAAAGGCCATAAACCACCCGCGTGGGCCGTAAAACGCACCTGCACCACCGCAACGACGTTGGAGATACCCTGACCCTCAATGGATCTGAGCAGCAATTCTCCTTCTTCCTCCACCTCGACCTGGGAGGAAAGCGCGAGCACCACAAAATCGGCCATCCGACACGCATCCAGCGCGCTCATGAGGTCGTACTTGGCCGGAATGTACTGCAGGCTCTGGCGGAATCGCTCGACGCGCACACGCGAAATCTGATCGGCGGAGACATCGGTGGTAACGTCGACGCTTTCGTTGAGGGACCGGATGACGGCGGCGACATCAATATCGACGGTGAGCGGCACAACGGCGACATGGCGGGGGGCGCCGTTCTGGCCGGAGAAGATGCTGGTCGACTGAGCCTTCTCTTGTTGTTTCAGCTGCTGTTTCTGGCGAGCCTGGTTCCTCCGATCGAGTTTCGACATGAGCTGTTGGTGAGGGGTTTTGCGGGTGCCCCGCTCGGGCCTTTCGACCTTGCCTGGAGATGATATTTTAGTGATCCGAGATTATTATTTTGGGAAGAGCAATAAGTATGTAGTGAGATAGACGTACCCTTCTCCTTATCTTTCAGAGCACTCTTCGAGGCATGGCGAGTCTTGTAGGCCTTGTTGGAGGATTTGGTGGTGGAGCGGTGGTGGTGTTGCACCGCTTGAGTGGGCGCCATGTTGGCACCGCTGGGCGCTTTGAACCGGAAGGGAAGAGAGGCCAGCGTGGGAGATTGGCAGATTTGCAGATAATGATGAGCCTGCAGAGTCCGTCTCCAGAAGCAAGGAGCCAAAAGAGCCTGCGGTTGATACTCAATCCAATTGGGGGCCCGATTGTTGACTTTTGTCTGGGGAAGAGGAAAGAAAAAAATAAGGCGGTGGAGACACAAGCGAGGGAACCGCCCGGCAGAAAAAGAAAAGTTCGGCTCGGATTTTTATTACAGATCGCGCAGTGACTGTTGGTCGGTCCTCAAGGCAACGTTCGACAGCTTGGAGGAATTTCTCATCCAGAACCTCCCCTCTAACCTCTCTCTAAAGGATTTCACAGACTTCCTCAGCGCTCAACTCCCTACGCCCGCAATGTCGGAATCCACGCCGACGAAGGCCATCGCGCCGACGGCCAACACCAACACCAACCCCAACCCCACCAAGCGCAAGGAGAGCAAAAGAGTGATGGAAGCGCAAAAGACCTACGGCCGCGGCAAGGGCATTCATACCCATAGCATTCGGGACAAGAAGCTGCGCAGCAACCTGAAGGCCGTCGAAGCCAAGTACAAGGAGGCCGCTCTCCGGGCCAAGGATGCGGAGATCCTGCTGGAGCACGAGGCCGGATTCATCGAGACCGAGGGCGAGTTGGAGCGGACGTACAAGGTCCGTCAGAGCGATATCCGGGACAACGTGGGCATCGAGACGGCCAAGAAGGGGTTCGAGCTGAAGCTGACCGACATGGGCCCCTACCGCTGCGACTACACGAGAAACGGCCGCGAGCTGCTGCTGGCGGGCCGCAAGGGACATGTTGCGACGATGGACTGGCGGAACGGCAAGCTGGGCTGCGAGTTGCAGCTGAACGAGACGGTCCGCGATGCCCGGTGGCTGCACAACAACCAGTACTTCGCCGTCGCGCAGAAGCGATCCGTCTACATCTACGATCATGCCGGCGTGGAGCTGCACTGCCTGAACAAGCACCTCGAGCCGCTCTTCCTCGAATTCTTGCCCTACCATTTCCTTCTCGCTAGCGCGGTAAGTCCAGTACTCCTATGACCTGCCATCACTGCTCTCGACTAACCTCGCACAATCATAGCAAATGAGCGGCTACCTCAAATACACCGACACCTCGACCGGTCAAATGGTGGCCGAGCTTCCCACCCGCATGGGGGCGCCGACCTCCCTCGCCCAGAACCCCTGGAACGCCATCCTGCACGTGGGCCACCAGAACGGCAGCGTGACGCTGTGGTCGCCGAACTCGCAAACGGCGCTGGTGAAGGCGCTGGTGCACCGCGGCCCGGTGCGCTCGATGGCTATCGACCGCCAGGGCCGGTACATGGTGTCGACGGGCCAGGACCAGAAGATGAACGTGTGGGACATCCGGATGTTCCGGGAGGTGCACTCGTACTCGTGCCACCAGCCGGGGGCGTCGGTGGCGATCAGCGACCGCAACCTGACGGCGGTGGGCTGGGGCACGCAGGTCAGCGTGTGGCGCGGGCTGTTCGACGCGGCGCAGGCCGACCAGGGCAAGGTGCAGAGCCCCTACATGGCGTGGGGCGGCGACGGGCAGCGCATCGAGAACATGCGCTGGTGCCCGTTCGAGGATGTGCTGGGCGTCGGCCACGACCAGGGCTTCGCCAGCATCATCGTCCCCGGTGCGGGCGAGCCCAACTTCGACGCCCTGGAGGCGAACCCCTACGAGAACACCAAGCAGCGCCAGGAGGCCGAGGTGCGCGGCCTGCTCCACAAGCTGCAGCCCGACATGATCTCGCTCGACCCCAACTTCGTCGGCAAGCTGGACACGATCCGCGACCAGAAGAACCGCGAGGAGCGCGACCTCGACCGCAAGCCCGAGGACCCCATGGAGAAGCTCAAGAACCGCGGCCGCGGCCGCAACAGTGCCCTGCGCAAGTACCTCCGGAAGAAGGGCCGCCGCAACGTCATCGACGAGAAGCGCGTCAAGGCGGAGTTGCTGCACAAGGAGCGCACCGCGCGGGCCAAGGACAAGTTGCGGGCCGAGCGACAGGAGCTGGGGCCTGCTCTGGCTCGCTTTGCGAAGAAGGATATGTGATTTTCTTTTCTCTGGCTCGTGTGTTTCGTGTATGTATTTCCGTTTGGGGTTGTGGTGGGGTGTTCATCCTGCGACTTTGAGCTCTCAGATACCCTGGTGGTTGGAGCGTCGGGCTTCCATCGCTGTTGTATTTTTTATGTTTGCATATTCCCGGCGTTGAGGTTTTAGCGGATGAGAAGCAAGAAAGAAAAAAGTTTTTTTAGTTTTTGAATATATATCCCATGATAGAAATATGCAAATAAACGATCATCATCATATACATCAACGGGCACATGTCAAACTACCCAAAATCCACCCCAAGAAACTTAAAGAGAAGAGAGAGAGAGAGAAATCAAACATCAACACTCCCCGACCCCCTCTGCCCACCGGCCTTCCACCTCCTCACACACTCCTCATACGCGCCACACGCCTTCCACGCACTCAAAATCAATCCCACAATATGCTCCATCCCCTTCCCATTCTTGACCTCGGCAAAGACCGTAGGCCCGCCCTCCCGCATCCGGGCAGCATCCCGCTCCATGACGCCCAGATCCGCGCCCACGATCGCCGCCAGATCACACTTGTTGACGACCAGCAGATCGCTGCCCGTGATGCCCGGCCCGCCCTTGCGGGGCACCTTGTCGCCGCCGGCGACGTCAATGACATAAATAATGAAATCGGCCAGCTCGCGCGAGTAGTTGGCCGCCAAATTGTCGCCGCCGGACTCGATCAGCAGCAGATCGGTCTGGAATTGCTTGTGCAGCGACTGTAGGGCCAGCAGGTTGGCGCTGATGTCCTCACGAACGGCGGCGTGCGGGCAGCCGCCCGTCTCGATGGCGCGGATGCGGTTGGGCGCCAGGGCCTTGTGGCGGGTGAGGAATTCGGCGTCTTCTCTGTTTTGGGCCCGCTTCTGCATTAGTAGGTTGTGGTGGTGGTGGGTTTGAGAGGAAGGTAGGGGCTCCGTTGGAAGAAAAGGGAAAGTCCGCACCTCGTGAAGATGTCGTTGGTCACAGCCGCAATGTTGTATTCATCGCGCAGGGCATGGCACAGCGCCAGCATCAGGGCGGTCTTGCCGGATCCGACGGGTCTAGATTTGTAGAGAATCCCATGAACTAAATTCAACCGCAGAAAGTCGCAGAGGAGATCGACCTACCCGCCAATACCAATGGTGAAGGCACGATCTTTCCAGTCCCGGGACTCCGACAATGGCATCTCCCGGTTGATGTAGGATCCCGGTCCATCGAGGATCTCGTGCGAGTGGCCGTGGCCTCCGGTGACATCGTCGTGGGAGTGGCTGACGCCAGTGTCGTGGGAGTGAGAGTGAGACATGATGTGTGGTTGCGGATGTGTGAAGAATCCCAAGGCGAAGACGATGGAAAGTGAAGAAAAGAAAAATGCAGAGAAAAGAAGAGAAGAGATAAAAAGATAGCGAGCCAAGGTTGGAGGGGAGAAGTTACTATTAGTATATCTACTGAGTAAGTATGGCGGGGCGGTGGAGGGGCTTCCCGCTCATGAAGTGGTTAGCACTGGACGGCGACTGCCGATGTCTGGCCCCGATTGGCGCCCAGATCCGACGGCTAACTTGAACTTGTATTCAAGATTGAAGATTGATTTGAATTGAAATGCTCTCTTACATAACCATGCAGCAACGCAACTATCAACACATTATCTTCCCAAGATATCCCAAACGCCTGAAGCATAACAAGAAGTAAGAGACAAGAAAAGAGAGAGGAACAGAAAGAAAGGAAAGCAAGATCACGTCAATCGCCCAGGTAAGGTGGATATCAAATAAAGCAGCTCCACAAGCACAACATTCACTGCAATGACGTTCATACACACGTCAACCCCCACAGAACGCTGTGAGAGATGGAAGGAGAATCAAATAGAGCAAAGAGAAATGTGAGAAAAAGAAACTGTCCGGACAATGATCGGGTCTAGATGCAAGATCGTCTGGATCAATCACAGGCACAACCGACTCAAAAGACGCCTTGTCAATCAAGTCGGTTGACGTTCTAAGTGCAATTGAAACCTGACCATATCGACCCATCCCCGCAGAAACAATAGCATATAGCACCCAAACCCAGCGCGTATGTTCAATGGCGGCCAAGGAGACAAAAAGACACCTGCAGATGAGAAGAAAAGCATCGGAAAAAGAGAAGCCTCGCACAGTATCCTCAAGGTACGCCGGTTCCCGCCTGGTGAGACTGCAATGATATGAGATGACAAGCAACAAAAAATAACCCAAACCACAATTACTCTAAGATTAAGCGCCCCCCTTTTGCTTCTTCGCGCCCACGCGTGGGCTAGCCTTCACCTTAGCTGGCGCAGGTCCCGGTGCTCCGTTCAAGTCCGGCCCATTATCATCGTTTTCAACCTTCACCGTGCTGGCCCGACGCCGCTTGGTTCCCACGTTGGGACTGGCACTGGCACTCGTCACTTGCGGACCATTGCCCTGCATTTGACCCTGCGGCATCGGAGGTCCGGCTAGGTGGGTTGGTGCAGGGCTAGGGTGACCAGAAACACTCAGATGGGGAGACCCTTGAGCAGGGGGTAGACCCAGATGAGCCATGGCTGGGGAGGCAAATTGGTTCGGAGCGTTCATGCTGGGAGCGCGGGGCTGACCTTGTTGCATGGCCGGATTCATTTGGAGGGGCATGAAGGCAGGATTAGGAACTTGGTTCTGCATCGAATTCACCAGGTTGCGCAACGATTCCCATGGTGTCAATTGAGGGTTTTGCTGGGAGAACTGCATCAAAAATTGCATAGATGCGATAGTCTCCGAGACCTACATCATAAATATATCAGTATAGCCTGGGAGATGTTGAGGGATAAAACCCACCTCCATGAATTGCATTACAGCACCCGGGACACCGTTCAGAGTCACCATCGATTCGGGTAAGGTGGCCGCGGGCGGTGGCGGCTGCTTCTGCTGGCCACGCTTGCCAGCATTCTTGGTAACCTTGGGACTCTGCTTTGGCAGTTCTGCTGCTGCCTGTTCTAGGGCCTGTAGCTGGCTGCGAGGCAGGTACTCGGTATGATTCAACATAACGATATCTAGCATCTCGATCTTGTTGTTCATATCAAAATGTGCCGTCATCGTTCCGTTGGCAAAGAGCTAGATTCGCTGTCAGTGACTTTCTGTAGATTAGATCTAGCGGAAGAAGTGCCGACCTGAGTATCGTTGGTGAACCAGTAAATGAAGGAAGTCCTGGGGCTCTCCACAATGTGACCTCCATTCGGCAAGTCCCGCTCCCGAGCCCCCTCCACAACCATCTGGATATGGCGGATACCGCTAGTGAATTGGGTGTAGTAATAGCGAGGGAGTGCGACCGTGCCAATCTCGAATTGCTTCGAACCCGTCTGGTGGTTGTATACGCCCTGACGCAAGACGCCTCCAGGGGCGTAGAACCGGCCCACGAATTGTTGCCAGTAGGCGAGATCATGTGCCTCACCGCGGCTCTGTAAAAGATTAGCATTGCTCTTCCTTGTGCGCGAGTGTGATTTAGACACATACTTGGAAGCTGCTCAGGTGTTCTGCAAAGCTATTCAGGTGGAGAATTGCCGCCCCTTTCATTGGTATTCGTGGTTGCTGCTGCATCATCATCGTAGCTGGATTCTGCTGCTGCTGCTGCTGCTGCGCCGCCTTCAGTTGTGCCTCCTGGGACATCATAGGAGGTTGTTGTTGTCCATGTAAAGGCCCCTGCTGACTTTGTGGTGGTTGCGGCTGCGGCTGCGGCTGCTGCGGCGGCTGCTGTTGAGGACCGGGCTGCTGCGACTGTGGCAGTTGTTGCGGAGGCGGATTAGGGGTGGGCTGCGGCTGTGGAGCGGGGGGTTGCTGCTGCGGCTGCTGCGGCTGGGTATTGGGTATCTGCGACGGATTCGGTTGCGGAGTCGCGCTCCCCTGGTGTGGTGGGGGGCCGGGTTGGGGCTGCGGCGTTGCGCTTTGTGCATCGTGCACGCTCTGCGGTTGCGCGGCTGCCCGTTGCTGCGGAGTCTGCTGGCCAGGTTGAACCGGGGTGGCCGCCTGTTGGACTTGCTGGGCTTGATGCGCTTGCTGGGCCTGAGCCTGCTGAGCCTGTTGTGCCTGCTGCGCGTGTTGGGCCTGTTGCACATGCTGGGCCTGTTGCGCTTGGGCCGCTTGGATGGCGAAGAGATGTTGCTGTTGCTGTTGGATATTCTGCGCTTGGCCGTGGGGCATTTGCTGCATCTGCATCTGCATGTTTACGGGTCGCACTCCTTGATTTGCTTGCATGGCGGCGACATGAGCGGCAGTCAGGCCGGCAGGATTGCCGTTGGGTAACGATACCGGAAGTCCACCATGTTGCTGCTGATGCTGCTGCTGCTGCTGCTGCTGTTGCTGGAGGATCAGACGTTGCCTCATAAATGCCTGTTGCTGCTGCTGGTGCAAAAGTTGTGGGTTACCAGCGACTAGCTCGGGGTAGAGTGAGTTAGCAAAGAACTATCCTTATTTGGCCAGCGAGATGCAGTACTGTCCAGCCGAAGCACGATTTACGAAGCCGTCGAGCGACCCGGGGGGTGGGGGACCTACATTGTTGGGCGAAATGAGGCTGCTGAAACATGTGTGCTTGTGCCGGACCCAGATGGGAAAGAGCATGAGCCTGCACTGGCCCTCCAGGCCCCGTTGTTCCAGCACCTGGGGGCATGCCTGCCATCATAGGTCCACCTTGACTGACCTGAGGCCCTCCGGGAGCCGACACACCTGGGTGCACCGCCTGCACCATTCCGGCCCCGGGGTGAGCATTGGGATGTTGACCAGGAGCCATTGGATGACCTGGTGGTAAAGTATGGTGCTGCGGGATGCCTTGAGGGGCGGGAAACGGTTGCGCCATCATCATCGCTGTGCTACGAAGCCGCCGATAACGGGACTCCTCGGGGTCGGTGAGAGAGGCGAAAAGTTCAAAAAGGAGTCAGCCGGGGGCGGAAGTCTGGGCGATAAAGCGACCGACAGCAGAGAGATAGGAGGAGGTGAGGAGAGGAAAGGAAGAGAGAGAGAGAGAGAGAGAACGGAAGAGAGGGCTTTTTTGGGGAGACCGAAAGAGGCGGACGTCGGGACTGAACGACGAGCGCGCTTGACGTGGAGGACACAACAGGGCCGCTTTTAGTGCCGGAGCGGAGGCCAAGACGCAGCTGACAGGCGATTGAGCCTGCGTCGGTATCGTCCAGGACCACCCAAGATCTGCAGCATGGATCGGACCGGCCTAATCACCTGTTGCCCGCCAGATCGGTGGAGAGGGAATGGAGAAATTCCTTGTTCTACAGTCCCTGTAGCGTCAGCAGAGATTAGTCAGAAAGGGTGTGACCGAAGACTTGAGGGAAACAAGAGACAAGGAGGAGGGGGGTGAAGGCGAGGAAGAGGCGGGAGGTTGGGAGGGGAAAGGTAGAGCATAAGGCGGGTGACAGAAGGCAGGACGCGATTAGGAGGGAAGATTAAAGCCGTCCTGGCAGAGAGTGGAAACGCGCAGGGAACAGAAAGGAAAGGAATGGGATAGAGAATACAATAATGCATACACGGGAATTAGACTTAATGGTTAGTTAGTTAGGGGGGAGGCGGGAGAAGGAAGCAGGTGTGGAGGGGCTGCTACTACCACAACCACCACCACTTTTAGGGGCCGATAGGAAGATAGAGCGCGCGAAAAAGAGAGAGCGAGGGAGGGAAATGGAGAGAGGGAAAGAGAAATACAGGAAGAGAGGGAGATACTGACCAGGACAAGAATGAGAGGGGAGGAAAGCGATTCGAGACGGGGGGGAAGAGACGGGAGAGAGAGAGAGAGAGAGAGAGAGAGAGGGCGAAAGAGGGAAGAGAGATGGACCGGCAGGGCAGGCAGGCACCGCGCGATTGCAAGAACTGGGACGTGTTGGCAGCAGTCGACAAGAGTTATTCCATTTGACTACGGAGGTATAGACCAACGATAAATGTGGGAGAGTTATATGTAAAGAATTTCGAAAAGAGCAAAAAAGAAAGACGTCGACTTCAGTCAGAGTACACAGAGCGCATGGCCATGGGG